AATATATATATGAATAAATTTATACATATATCGTGTGTTGTATGGCGCGGTCCGTTACATACACAAATGCAAACACGAAGTATAAAGAACGTGCGCTCGTGTGCTGATACGAAGCACCACGAAGTATACACCAAGAGCTACGTTCGCACTACGTTGCTGCTGGTGTGTTGTTGCGTTCTACGTAAAATTTTGTTGAAAAACTCAAAGTCGTCTACTGTACTACATAATTACAACAGCGCAGCGGACATCAGCACGTTTGCTGTCCGTGAACGCTTGTATGGATGTTTGCGTGTGTGTGTGTGTGTGTGTCTGTGTGTGTGTGTCTGTGTTGTCAGTTAATGTTTTGTTTTGTTGCGAGAATGAGCAAGAGAGCGAAAATCGAATGACAGAGAGAGGGAGTAGAAGCTCACCCGTCTGCTGCTGCAATTGGCGTTGGCGTATGTTTTTTTCCCGTTTTTTGTTTTCGAAATAAATACAAATAATTGCGCGTTATAAAAATATTCAATCCGCGCTCGGTGCAATGGGAATGAGGCTACGTCATTTGTTGATTTATTGTTGTTGCTTTCGAACTTCAACTGATTTGAATTTCGCGTCATTGCATTTTGTATATACATACACACACATATAAATATATTTTAGCGGTCGGCAACAAACCGTAACCACAAATTTGCAGTCAGCAGTCAAGAGTACGAAATACACATATTGAGAGTCGTGCCCACAGTGGTTTCAATTGAATATTTTACGTGCTTAATTTATGTGTGTGCCATATACATACGTATATGTATCTGTTTATGCCTGTATGTATATGCAAAAAAAAAAAAAAGAGTTTCGAAGTGAAATCAAAATCAGAGATACATATTTGCCGGCCGGCATAAAAAGTTTAAATACTTTGTTGTATACAGTTATAGATATTTATGTAAATATAACATATCAATATAGAAGCTCGATGCAATTAATGTTGGGCGGGCTGCATTGTTTACACTTTGGATGGACATTTGTGTGAGCGCGAAACCACTGTGCGAGTGAACAGCGCGTGGTGTGAAACATGTATATATATATTTATATATATATGTGTGAATGTGTGCATGCTGTTTGTGGCTGCCGTCGGAGCTATACAGTGAGTGAGCCCATTGGATTTTTTTCCACTCACCAATATCGTCTGAATTAATGGCGAGGGTGTTAAAATCCAAAATTTTGTATGCATTTTTATTTTCATATGCTTGTACATATATATCTTTATGTCCATATATTTGTGTGTGAAATGCTTGTAATGTGCAACAACGACAAACAAAGGGACTTTATTATGCATGAATCATGTTGCCTACCAGCTACTGCTGGAACGGAACATAACCAAGTTAAGTTGGCAGCGGTGTGGTGAATTTCTCCCATCAAATCTCGTGTGTATGAGCTCTGCCTATGTATTTGCTTGCTTTTTCTTTTTTTGTAAATTTGATTATGGCCGATTCGCAGATCCCTTAAATTTTGAAAATTTGTATTCTTATAGTGAAAATAAAACCTAGTTGTAGATGGTGTTTTAAAATGTATCTGAAACTATTGGTATTTCATTGTGCTGCTGCTGCTTAGCACCATTTTAAAGTGAGACCTGTGTGCAAACGGGACAGCTCTATATGAACATATTCTGTCCTATGTGTATGTGTGATGCTCTTTCTCTTTCCCTCCGGTGTGCTCGCTCTCAGGCATTTTCGAATTTCGAAAGTTGTCTCGCCGCTCTTTTCGACTAGTGCTGTTTGCGCTGTTGCCGTGAGTGCCAAAACGGCGGCAAAGTAACTAACATACACACACACACACACAGATAAAAAAAAATAGAAAAAACAAAAAGAAAATAAAGGCCAAGCCAAAGCGTAATAGAAAAAATCCAAAGAAGAAGCAACAGCAGCAGAAGCGGCAGCAGCTGCAACCAACGTGTGTATGTGTTTCAGAAGAAAAATTGTCAAAGAGTAAAAAGTAAAAAAAATAAATAAAATAAAATAAAATGAGAATTCAAAACATTTTGTTGTCTCTGCATTTATTTTATTTTGACTTTGCTTTACGAGTGTTTGTTGCATTTCGCATTTGCCGAACGCGGGAGAATCATCATCGCGTGTCGCTTGCGGTACAATGTTTATGAGAGGAGATGAGATGATGTGCGATTGTGTGTGCATGTGGATTCGTATTTGTATTTTGTTTATTTTAACTGCATTATCGTGTAGCATTTTATTGTTTATGTAACGAAAACTGAAATTTTGTTTTGGCGCCCTATATAATAAAGTGTGTGTGTGCTTTTCTGTCAAATTCGTTCAACAAGCAATCCAACTGAATTCAAACAACCTAGTCATTTGTGTTGAACCGGCCGGTCAGGCAACAGCAAAATAAATAACAAAAATCAAATAAAATAAATAAAATTAAATAAAATACAAAATTTTACAATTTTGGTGTGACCGCGATTTACATTCATTCCGAGCGAATATACCGCTAGTTATATTGTTTATCGAGTTGTTTTCTTCGCAATATATTAATTGAGAGTGAATTTTGGATAATTTTCGCGCGTATATTTGCAAAAAAACAAATCCTAATAAAGCTGATATCTTCTTTTACTTGCAGTTTCGCTGTTTGACAGAGCGACAAACCGACCAATAATAACAAAAACTGAACGTTATACAAAACAAATCAATATACACCAACACTGAATCTGTAACTAAGATAAATTGGCAAATTCAAAATGCCAACTGAACTGAATTCGCAGCAACAACAAAAGCAACAATAAACTGACATCTGGAGAAGCCGCGACACCGGCAAGTGGTGGTAAATATATAGAAATAGAAATCAATATTGTTGATAGTCTGACATTAATCGAATTTAACTCTCCTAGTTGAAGACAATTTGCTGAGCATGCAACGGAAACAAAAGCCAAGAGCAGCCGTCGAAGAAGCAGTAGCAGCAGCAGCAGCAGCAGCAGCAGCAGCAGCATCAGCAGCCGCAACAGCATCAATAGCCGTTAATAGAATAAAGGAACAGACCTGCAGCAACTGCAGCAATTGCAGCAGGACGACAAGCAACAGTAGCGGTAGTAATATCAGGATTAGCAGGAGGAGCAGGCCCAGCAATAGAAGGCCAAACACAAACTTCTCCATTTCTCGAGCAGTGCATCATCATTGGCTGCTTTGAGCAGCGGGGCGAACAGAACAGGACGTGTGAGCAGGACGAGACGGCCCCGGGCGTGTGTGCTGCGGTTGTGGTGTGTGTGCGTCGGCCGTCTCAGTCAACAACTTGAGGAGCATAAACAAAAATAGCAGCAGCAACATCATCATCATAATTCACTCATTGATCTAATTATCAACAACAATCAAGAACAAGCAAGCACTATTAGATAAAGGTACATCAAGAACAATGTCATCCAACGAACCACCGCCACGTTATGAGCCCACTGTGGAGCCCATCAATGGTATTGTACAGCCGCCGGTTGTGCCGCCACAGGACCGACCGGGACGGAATACAAATCAATTGCAATATTTGATTAAAACAGTCATGAAGGTCATTTGGAAACATCATTTCTCGTGGCCCTTTCAACAGCCGGTCGATGCCAAGAAACTGAACCTGCCCGATTATCACAAGATAATCAAACAGCCAATGGACATGGGTACGATTAAGAAGCGCTTGGAGAATAACTACTATTGGTCGGCGAAGGAGGCCATTCACGACTTCAATACCATGTTCACCAATTGCTATGTGTACAATAAGCCCGGCGAGGATGTTGTTGTGATGGCCCAAACCCTGGAGAAGGTCTTTCTGCAGAAGATCGAATCGATGCCCAAGGAGGAGATCGAGCTGGAGCCTGTCACGGCAAAGGGTGGCAAAAAGAAGCAACGTGCACCAGCCACATCCAAGGCCGCCAATAGTAGTGCCATCTCATCGGGCAGCGGCGCCGGCAGTGGCGTTGGCAGCACTAGTGCGCCGGCAGCAACAGCGACCAGCACATCGACAACAGCCGGTGGGAAGGCAGCGCAATCCTCACAGCTGACCCAGATGAGCGGCCTGTCCCAGTCATCTGGAGCGGGCGTCTCGACGCCAACGTCAGCGGCCGCACAGGCGGCAGCAGCAGCGGCAGCCATTCAAGCAGCAGCTGTTGCGGCCGCCGCAGCAGCAGCCAACGCCCGACCTGTCTCCGCCATGGGCGGCACGGTTTCATCAACAGCCGGAGGCGTTACACCGTCCATACCACCGATAAGCACAATGCCGCCGCATACGGTGCCAGGCAGCACGAACACAACGACCACTGCGGCGATGGCAGCGGCAGCGGCTGCCGCAGCGGGGGCGGGGGCGGGGCCGGGCGCAACAAATGCAGCTGTGCTTAATGCGGCCATGGCCAGCCTACTGAATCCTGCGCAAAGCGGCGGCGGCAACAGCTACGGTGCAGCCGGCCAACAGACATCGATCAACAACAGCTCCCTGCTCGACGCCAATGCGGCGACAACGGCTGCGGCAGTCGCCCAAGCACAGGCGGCAGCAGCGGCCGCCGTCGCAGCAGCTGCCCTGGACGGAGCCGGCGGTGTGACAATACCGTCGGCTGCTGTCAATGCAGCCAATGCGGTGCAAGCGTACGTGAATAGTACGGCGGGCGTCGGTGTTGGGGTTGTGGATGCCGTGATACCCCCACAGCAGCCGGCCAAAATGAAGAAGGGCGTCAAGCGGAAGGCGGACACAACGACGCCGACGGCGAATGCCTTTGAATCGCCTTACGCCCAAATGGATGCCAAGGCGGCCAAAATAGCGACGCGGCGGGAATCGAATCGTCAGGTAATTGGCAAAAAGGTAAGAGGCAATGGACAGACGTTCAATAATTCATCTAATGTTGTGTGTGTGTGTGGGTGAGTGTTTGTATGTGTGTGTGTGTGTGTGTGTGTGTGATTGATGTACTTAACATAAGTACACAAATGTTTAAAACACCAATTAGTTGCAGGGATTAACAGTCGGGAATAGCTCAGTGCTTAATACTCGCTCATAGCTTGTGTTAACAGCTATCGATTTATTGATCGATTTATCGATCCATAAAGCCTGTCCTTAGTTCAGTATATATAGGCTAGAGTAGATTTACCCGTTCATGACGTTAAGAATAATAATAGATGCTCCTTGATCTCTTTCATCTCTCTGATCGATTTTGATATCCATAATGAGCTCGAAAGCTTCTCGCGTCAATCATGAAATAAAAGCTTGATCCGATATTTATATAAATAGCCTATGACAATGAGTAAGCTAGAAAATATGGAACGAATTCATGTAAGGTAGATAAATGTTCTTCAATGGAGCCCCGTTAACGTTAGTCATGATGCTTATTGTTTAGGCTAAGGCACATTGCAAACAACACACGAATTGTTTAAACAATATAAACAATTTAATTAGATTTAAACCTTAGTTTATTTGTAAGGCAGCACAAGCAGACACAGAAATACACAAAACTCAAACTTTGAATCTATACACAACAACACAATCTTACACACACACACACAATCAGACACTACATACACACACACCTATGTATATATATATTTATATATCCAACACCAAATACAAGAATAAAGTCATCGATAGTCCATATATTATAAACGCTGCCCTTGCCTTTTACAATTATGATTTGAGATCATCGAAATGCATATTAGAACTGAAGAGCAATAAATATCGATATCGATTAATAGAGACAACCAGCCAATGGTTGATGATATTCACTTATAGTCGACGTTATCGATAGTGCTCTTCGGCTCTAATTATGCTAATCCATAAAATGTATTTATGTATATATATGTTGAACATATAATATACACATATATTTATATAATATTTGTGTATACCAACTGACTGATCGATAAACAATTTTTTGAATGCTCTAACCCATTATCGCTTTTTTTCTTTTCTCTCCATTCTATTCTTTTTTTTTTTCCAAATTTTTATTTTGAATTCGTTTCAATCATCGTTATATCGTTATTGTCATTGCACATACACCACGCACGAATCGAACAATCGACCAACAATCGAACCATCGAAATCGTTCAATTTGAAAACCAACCAAAGGATCTTACATTCCAGGGCTCGGGCTATCCAATGTCACCGTTGGGTGTGGCTGGTGTGCCTGGTCTGGTTGCCGGCGGCGCCATTGGGGGCGTTGCTGGTGCCAAGTCGAAGGAGAAACTATCGGATGCACTTAAATCATGCAATGAGATACTCAAGGAGCTATTCTCCAAAAAGCACTCCGGCTATGCCTGGCCCTTCTACAAGCCCGTCGATGCTGAGCTGTTGGGGCTGCACGACTATCACGATATCATCAAGAAGCCCATGGATTTGGGCACCGTTAAGCGTAAAATGGACAATCGCGAATATAAGAGCGCGCCGGAATTTGCGGCCGATGTGCGATTAATATTCACCAATTGCTACAAATACAATCCGCCAGATCATGATGTCGTTGCGATGGGCCGCAAGCTGCAGGATGTCTTCGAGATGCGATACGCGAATATACCCGATGAGCCCGTTGCGAATGCGGCGCATCATCATCACGGCTATTCGAGCACGTCAAAGCATGATGCAAGCGATTCATCAAGCGAGGAATCGAGCGATTCGGAAAACGAATCGAATTCGGATGAGGAGCGCAGTGCCAAGCTGAAGATGCTCGAATCGAAGCTGCTCGGCCTGCAGGAGGAGATACGTAAGCTGGTGGAGGAGGCGTCCGCTAAGAAGAAGGCYAAGAAAAAGCTGAAAGAGAAGAAGAAGAGCATGGGCCAGGGCAGTGCCAGCGCAGCCGGTGGTGGCAGTGGTGCTGGCGGCGCCGGTGGCCATCATCAGCATGCGGCCAGCGCTGGTAATGCCAGCCATGGCGGCGTCACATTACCCACCAATGTGGCTGGACTGAATGCTGGCGGTGCGGCGGGCGCCAATTTGTCGGCCCTGTTGAACAGCTCGCTGGTGGGTGCCGGCGGAGTGGGCGTGGCAGGCGGAGTACCCGGTGCGGCAACACTGCAGCACGTCCACGACGTGGCCATGGCGATTAGCCAGCTGACGGGCGGCGGTGCCGCTGGCGGAGCGGGCTATGCGGCCGGCGTCAATTCAGCCGGCGTGGCGGCTGGCGGAGGCAAGGCGGCGGCTGGTGCACTAGCGGGCGCATTGGCAGCTGGGGCGGCTGCCGGTGCCGGCGGTGCAGGCGGCGGCAGCGGAAGCGGTGGCAGTAAAGGTGCTAAGGTCAAGGGACAGCGCGGCGGCAAAGGTGGCGCAGGCGTTGCTGCCGGCAATGCAGCGAGCGGTGCGGCTGCTGGTGCGGCTGGCATTGGAGCGGGTGGCGCCTCTGCTGGCGGTGGCAGCGGTGCCGGCGGCGGTGGCAGCGGCGCCAGCAACAGTGCGAAACGCACCAAGAGCAGCAGCAACGCCAGCGCTGGAGCTGGCGCTAATGCCGGTGGTGCCAGCGGCGGTGCCGGTGCCCGTGGCAGCAGCAAAAAGAAGCCCAGCCAGGTGATGAACTTTGATTCCGAGGAGGAGGACACTGCCAAGCCAATGTCCTACGATGAGAAGCGACAGCTCTCCCTTGACATTAACAAATTGCCAGGTGAGTGGCATCTCAATCAGCATATACAGATATATATATCTTATATATTCGATCAAACATAGATAAACAGATAGATGGGGGTCGAATTAGAGTTGATTTCAAGTTTCGATGACCGTTAAAAAAGGTTAAAGATTAAAGATAGATAGATATATTAGTGAAGTTATTTTATTGAGAATCTATTGATCTTCTATCCTGATAACTGAAGTATAATTCAAGAGATTAATTTTAGATAGATTAGAGAAGATATATGCTGCAGGTAAAGTTCATAATGAATAATAATTTATATAGACAAATAGAAGTATCACTAAAAGTTTCTAGTACTCTAGAAAATTGAAAAATAATAGAACCGAGTTGATAAAGCGCAAAATATATTGAATGATTAAAGATAGATAGATAGATAAGAGAAGATTATTGAGAATCTATAGATGTTTTATGCTGGATAACTGAAGTATAATCCAAAAGAATTGATTTTTAGATAGATAGATTATAGAATATATATTCTTGAGGAACAGTTCATAATGAAAGAGAAAGGTTTTCTAGTAGTACTCTAGAAAATTGAATATATGAAAATATATAAAAGAATATGAGACATTAAATACCTATATAGGTACCTAGATAGGTAAACGAAGACACTAGGCAGACCTACAGGAAACTATCTACAGAGAATTGAAAGTAAAAGAGAAATAGATTAGCTTAAAATTGTTAAGTGATTTATAAATATGCTTGATCAGTATATAAGTATGTATGTAATATAAAATGTAAAAATTTTACTAAAATGCTTCTCTTCATCTAGGCGACAAGCTGGGACGTGTGGTACACATTATACAAAATCGTGAGCCATCGCTGCGCGACTCGAATCCGGATGAGATTGAGATCGATTTCGAGACACTGAAGCCGTCGACGCTGCGCGAGCTTGAAAGCTATGTGGCGTCGTGTTTGCGCAAAAAAACACGTAAGCCATATTGTAAGTTTGTAACTAAACCGAGACCACAACAAGAACAAGAACAAGATAAAGATAAAGATAAAGACAAAGACAACGACAAAGACAAAGACAAAGA